GACGCTCTTAGTGATATTGTTCAGTTTTCGGTAGTCCTGCAAGTAGCAGGGAGGTGGACTCTATGATCCTTATGGGTCCCTTCCAACTTGAGATATTCTATGATTCTCTGAAAGATAATGCTGTTTATAATGCTTTGTTTTTGAAGGTTTCATCTGTAACCTTGAACTAAAGATATATATTTTAAAATAAAAATTGTTCCTCAGGACAGTTAATGGGAGGTAGTACGCCCTTTCCAGACTAATCAATATATCTCAATGGAAATACAAATTTCATAGATAGGAATACCAGTATAGAACTGCTTTTCTTTCTACTGAAAATAACTTCAGTGTCTTACCATTTTATTAAAAGAATATGTGAAATTATGGCTTTCAGTTCTACAAAAGAGAACACTCTCTCACAGATGTAAATCATATGGGGAAAGGAAATGCTGCACAAAATAAGGGCATAGCAAGACAGTTCTGCATAAAATAGGTTTGTCTTGAGTATTATCTCTTATTCTGCACATATTTTTATTCTGAAAAAAAGGAAAAAAAAAGAAAAAAAGAAAAAAGAAAAGGTATTCAAGGAAGTAAGCCCCTTCCACTACAAAAGCTGATAAACTACAAAAAACAAAGGTTCATAGCCTCTAACAGCTTGAATAAAGTGGGATGGAGTCAGCACAATGGAAGGTGCTAATTTCTGCAAGATATTTATAAGCTTTTTCCTTAAGAATTGAAAACTTAATTCTTTGATAAGATAATCACATGTACATACTGTGTAAGATAGTGATATACAGTTCATGCAAAGTGGTACACTACTGAAAGATTTAAATAAATTATGTCACTCATAATTATTTTTCATTAATGTAGTGAGTGAATGGTGGAAAGGGAAAACACTGTGTGAGATTGCTCAATTGACAATAAACCTTTCTTGAAACATTTTCCTGACTTTTTAGTCCTGAAGTGCTTTTGAATAACTCTCTTGATAATCACAAAAAATCATGCTAGACAGTGTAATTTGGTTTATTGATGTGATAAATATCGTGAAGTTGATAAATGGCTAATGGTGGACTGGGTTTATTGCTCTCCAGTCCGGCTCCACTTGCTCATTTTTGATAGATCATCCCACTACCACAGATCTACCAGCAAAGCTATTGTGTTACTGCTCTCAAACCTACCTCAATAAAAATGTAGGGTTAGTTAGGAGGTTAGATAGGTTAGAAAAGCTGACATCAGAGACAGGTTAAAGAGTACTTGTGTGGTAGCTATGACATCAGATTTCAGTGGCGATGCATTCTGCAGTGGGTGGCACTGAGCTGTGAAAGGCAGGCCAGGATATTAGCTTTTCCTCACTGCTCTCAAAGCATCCATCTGTCTTCATCCTCACTGTCCCCATAACTTAAGTATGTTACCTTAAGTATGTACCTGAGTTTGTAGAACTGAAAGGGTGTCCTCTTTCAGGGACAGTATAAGCAGAAATCATTTTGTGTTTGAAACAGGTTTAGACACTGCAAAAATCTACAGCTTTTGGTCTTCAGGAAAAGGGCATTCACATTAGCATTTCCCTATACTCACAACATTGGAAAAGTCTAACACTTAAAAATAAACTGAGCTTGGGAATAATTAAAAGCCACCTTTAATTAAGTGGGTACACTTTTATATAAACTGATATTCTGCACCTGCAATTAACTGATCTTCCCCCTCTCTTTCACTTGTTCCTCTGCATCTCACGATAAAATACTTTTCTCTTTCTATGAAATATAATTGCACAAAGCAAGATGTATATAACATTAAAGAGCAGTTGAGAGATTAACAGGAGCACAGCCCTTTAGAAAACTGGGAAGCCATTCCTCACCTCCCTTCGGAGAATACAATGGACCATGACAATAACAAAGCCTTGTAATGAATCAAATACTGCAAAAAGTATCTGAAATAATATTGATCTTTTGTCTGTCATGGCCAAAACTGCAGACATCCAAGTCAGAGCCAGAAGTGGCAACACCACACAGGAACTCCAAAGGGATGCCCTATTGAAAAAAAAAAGAGAAAAAGAGTATTGTAATATTGTAAAAAATTATTAAAAGCTCACTATTAAAATAAAACATATTTAAGTATGGCACTTATCAAGTTAACTTGAAAATCACAGACAAGAATGTAACAGTGTTGATACTTTAGGTTCTAAAGAATATCCTGTATTCAGTTAATAAACACAGTTGCAATCTTTTTTTTTTTTTTTTTTTTGTTAAAAAGTATTTAAACGTGCTCAGCACTCTATACAGTGTTAGCAAACACAGTTGTCATCATCAAACTATTGTTTCACATGCACTGCATAAGATTTGTAACAAGAAGATGTAAATGATCAGGACTAACATGGCATTACTGGCGGTGGTGGCTGACAAAGCTGTTGTTGAAACTACTCCACACTTGGCACATTTGAGCGTCAAACCGCTATGAGGCTCACTCATCTGACTGCAAACAAACAGAACACCCACAAAAAGAACAAAATATTGAATTGTCACCAAAAAACGTTGCTACTGAAATTTAGCTTTTAAATATGATGTCATGCAGAAAAAGTAAGTAGACTTATTCAGGATGAATGCTCTATGATGTTGCAAAATTGTACTTTGTACTTTACATTATTGTACGCTTTAAATGTTAATGCTATGGGGCTTAATTTCATGCAGACTCTAGTTCTCCCATTTAAGCTAAAAAAGGCCCCAAATGTCCAGTGATCAAAACTGCTCAGTACATTGAAGTAAACATAAGCACGTGCTAGGATAGACACACAAAGTGAAATCCCTCTATTCAGACCTGTTAAAAGACTGTTGTACCCAAACTTACTTGAGACAGAGTATAGGAGACTTAAAGGAGGAGTATGAA